AAGGAGCATGTTGGGAAAAAAGGGAGAATACAAAGAATACAATCCCTTCCCTTCTGAAGTTCACTGTTACTGGAACTTCTTTGATAGACTAAGTCTATCTATCAAAGCCTAAGGACTATGGGCAGGAGAAGACACCAAGTGCCTTTGAGAAGGCACTTGCCACAAGCAAGGGCAGGTGACCCAGGCTAAATGGAAGGACCTAAGGGTTGCAGGGGTTGCTCTGGCTCCGATATAGTGTGTGGGAGGGGCTGGAAACCCTTCTGGTCAAGTCCCTGGGGCCTGACCGAGCGAGGCGACAGGGGAGTTACGCAGTGATGCTAAGCCCCAGACAAAAGCAACAGCGGCGGAAAACCAAGGCCCCCTAGTGGCAAGTCATGGTATTATCTGACACATTGGCAGTTCCAAGGTGATATTTGTACACCAAGGGGGGGAACCAGAGATACTGTTTGCATTTGTGGATTTCCCCTCCACCCCTTAATAATCCATTAAAGTGTTCTGTGAAGCCCCTGGGTGTCCAGTTTTATTATTGAAGAGAAGTGGCAGATGGTTTGAAATGACAGTTTTTCTTTAACGTATCCTAGATAAAATTCTTGGGGACGAGTACTTTCCCCTCTGATCTAGTTTGGGTGGATTTGTTTTTCTCTTTATTTTTCCTATTTTTTTTTTACCCCCACCCGCATTTCATAGATAATTATGTAATCTAATTAATGTCTATTTTCCTCTTCAGCAAGTAAGCTTCAGGGGCTAGGGATTGTTTGTCTTGTTTGTTGCTGTATCCTTGCCGCCTAAAATAGTATTGGGCATTCATTCATTTTTTTTTAAGATTTGTTATTTATTTATTTGAGAGAGAGAGAATGAGAGATAGAGAGCATGAGAGGGAAGAGGGTCAGAGGGAGAAGCAGACTCGCCTCTGAGCAGGGAGCCTGATGCGGGATTCGATCCCGGGACTCCAGGATCATGACCTGAGCCGAAGGCAGTCCCTTAACCAACTGAGCCACCCAGGCACCCTGGGCATTCATTCATTAAGCTGACAAACCGTTAGGGAGTGTCTGTTCTGTGCCAGGCCCTCTCCTAGGCCCTGGGGGTGTTGAGGGGATAGCAGTTTGCCGAACACTGACTGGTCTTACGGAACTGCCGTGCTAGCGTACAGAGATGGAGGACAAACAAGAACATGGGATGGGAGTGGTGATGAGCGCTCAGGGTAAGGGGCTTCTGCTCCAGGAAGTTTTCTCTGATCACTTGATATTTGAGCAGGGACCTGAAGGACGGGAGGAAGGCAGGAGGGAGGTGGGAGATTTGGGAGAGTTCCAGGGAAAGGTACAGGCCCTGAGGGGAGAGCATGTTGGGTGGTCCTAGGGGCCAGGGGAGAGGAGGTGGGGATGGGAGTGGGACCTTGGAGGCCACCCTAAGGACTTCAGCCTTGACTGGGTGGTATAAGGAGCTATCGAAGGGTCTGAAACAGAGGGAAAGATCTTATCTATGAGACGGTAATAAATTCTTGCTGAATGAATGTGGAATCGTGAAACTCCTTACAGCCCACCCCAGCTCCCCCACCTTCAGCACTCCATTTTGCCTTTAACTCTGCCCATTCAGCTTCTTCCCACCCAGCCATGCCCCACTGCCCAGAGAACTCCGAATCCTCTGGTTTTCTGTCTTTGGTGAGCTCCTGACACCCCCAAACTTGATGAGCTTCCCAGTTATGTACTTTCCCAGCACCCAGCCTTAAATGTGGGTTATGTCTGTCTCCATCATTCCATTGCTGGCTGCCTGAGGACAGGGACACCATCTGGCCTGCTCACTGCTGTATCCCGGGTGGGACGCAGAATGTGCTCGGTAAATATTTGCTGGGTGACGACTGGTTAAATCAGCCTACTCTGTTCCTCTGGGCGTTGGCTTCTATTTTCTGCCCAGTCTGAGGGCTCCAAGCTGAAGCTGGACATCGGGCCAGGGACAAGTCGCTGCCCCTTCCCTCCCAGAACCTGGTCCTTGTTCCTGTGACCTTCAAGCCTCCTCTAGGTCTGAAGTAAGTGCTCTTAGACTCCGCAGACCCCACTTTAGAACATCTGTCAAGCTTTCAGCTCAAGAATAATTGTGTGCCCCACTCCCTACTCTGTCTGTATTCTGAGACAAGACAGCCACTCAATGGTAATTTTTCTAGACTTTATTTTATAGCAATTGTCATGATTAGAGAAGTAAATAACACATTTAAAAACCTTCTCAGGGCCAAAGGATGCCAGAGTATTTACAAACACATGGTGGGGGGGGCAGTGGCAAGACATGAGGGGCTGGGGCTCGGGAGCTGGGGTTCTGCCCAGGCCCTGAGCCAGGCTTGGACGCTGATGCTAGTCACCACGACTGTCCCACCGGCCACGGCACAGGCTCAGGGAGTGTTGGCAGCCTTGGGCCTCTCTCAGTGGGCCTGATGGGAGGCCCTCTAGATAACCTGTGGCCCTGCCTCCCGCCCAGGGGGCTCCCCACACCCCGCAGGCCAGCTCAGAGGGGCCTCTGGGAAGCACCGAAGGACAGGGGCAGTGTGGGGGGCACAGGGGCTGGGACAGAGATCGGGGACGACCCAGCCTGCCCAGGGTGGGACAGAGAGAGAGAAAGAGAGAGAGAGACACACACACACACGCACACACATACACACAGCTTCACAGAAGAATTGAAAGAGGAAGATTTTTTTGAGTGTTGTCTGCTAAGTCTTCGTGTCTACGGTGTTATTTTTTGCTATTTGTTTCTTCGACAGTGACATAAACTGAGGTAAACATCAGTGACCAACACCTCTCCTAAGGGGCAAAGGGTCCCAACCCAAGAAGCAGAGGTGGCGGTGACAGCGCAGCAGGTCCCCGACGGCGAGGGAGCGGGCCTGGCCAGGTTCCGCTCCGGTGTCAAGCGGTCGCTGCCCCTCCCTGTGCCTCTGAACACCGGGGCTGGGCTACAGAACTACAGTCCCCTTTCCAGCTCTAACATTCTAGATACTACGACGAGGGAGAAACTCCCAAATAGGATCTTAACAGAGAAAGAGAGAGAGAGGGCGCGCGGCGAGGGACATCTACTTGGAATCTTGCGTCCGTGTTATTGCAGGAGAGACAGGATGTCGAGAGGCCTAAGGCAAAAGGAGAAGTCGCGGCTGGGAGAGAGAGGTGGCCCGGATGGGCTCCAGGTGGGCCGGGGGCAGTGATGGGGGGGCCCTTCTCTGAAATGTGGCCCTTGGTGGGAGGAGGGATTGCTACTTACCTGGCGCGTGGAGGGCCCCAGGGCCCAGGGCAGAGGAGGGCCTCCGGAGGGACCGGCACACCGAGGAGGGCGGGGCGAGGCCCTGGGGCAAACCGCACGCTGTTTGTAAACTGGACCCAGGCAGGGCAGGGGGACCTATAGCCCTTTTGCGCGGTGGGAATGAGGGATGAGCGGAGAGAGGTGGGGGCTCCAGGCCAGAGGGTGGTTGGGCCCTCTATGGTCAGCCGGGCTCCTCGGAGAGCCCCCTCCAATGGCCTGGAGCCCCGGTAGGACCCTGGCAGGTGTGGCCCGGGATGGCCGAGGGGCCCCTGCCAGGCAGAAGGAGCGGCCTCACCCATGTCGAGGTTATTGCGGGGTCCCGGGCCTCCACAGCGAGCGCAGGGGTCATGAGGGAACACTGGGTGAGGTTGGGTTCCTGTTTTGCTGCCTCGGGGCCTGAACCCACATGCGGGTGCCTCCCGGCCAGATTCCCTGAGGGGCGCGTGGTGAAGCACGGGCCTGGACACCCGCTGGCAACTGCCTGAGGAGGACCCTGGGGCCGGGCGGAGTTCGGAGGCGTCTGGATGCCATCGCTGAACACAGGAGACTACACGCAAACGTGGGCACTCGACTCACACTCACGCCGCACACACACACCTATTCACACACTCACCCCCCTCGCGTTTCCATGGACCCCCACCCTCATTCCCACAGCATCCTCACACCCAGAGCGGCCCACTCCAGTACCAGGAAGCTGGGAGACGTGGGGTTGGGGGCAGCCCAGAGCTGACATGCCGGTCCCCAGCAGAAACCCAGGGAAATTCCTGGCACAGATCACCTCTGTGTCTGGGCTCGGGGAGCCAGGATCGAGGGGATCTGAGGTTCCCCGGTTGGGGAAGGTGCAGCCAGCTGGGGAGCTGGGCCGGCCCTGGGCTTTGCACTCACACCAGTCGCCCTGGGGATGCCGGGGCGCGACCCTGGCAGCCCTTCCCTTGGCGAGTTTTCGGGACAATTCATGGGGAGGCAGGGGAGGGTTTCTAGAGCTCCACCTCTCAGGGTCCCTGCAGCTCAGGGCAAGTTGTGCTCTTTCGGGGCTCAGTGTCCTCATCTTGGGGGAATGGGTTGTGGGGGTTACTAGATTCTTCGGGCTTGTACCTGCGCGGGCACACACACACACACACACAAACACACATTTTGCCACATCCAGACATTTGCTACATTTTGCAGAGGGCTTGGCCTCTCCCCTATAGCCTCCCAGGAAAGGGACAGGGCGCAGCTGAGCAACACCCCTGCCCTCAGCTCGTCGCCCTCCCCCTAGCCAGCATCCGAGGGCCCTAAGTAGCCCCTTCTCTGCCCCAACACTTCCGTCCCCTTCTGTGCCCGGGTGTGTGGGGGGCGGGGGGGCGGCCAGGAGGGAGGACCAGGGGTGGGGCTGCGGGATGATCGGCCAGGGGGTGCAAAGGGCTAGGAGCAACTAGTCAGGGTTCCAGGGTTAGGGGAGGTGTGTGTGTGTGTTTTGGGGAGGGGAGTCTGCCCGCAAGCTCCCTCGCTCCGGGTGTCAGGGGTGCATCTGAATCCTCTGGTCTGCGGGGCTCGGCTCCTGTGACCCAAGCCCCCGCCCCACAGGCGGGGCAAGAGGTCTTTTGGTGGCTATCTCCGCAGCCCGCCGCGAACCGGGCGCCCGGGCCCGCAACCCCGCCCAGCCTAGCCCTACTCCCCCCGCCGCCGCGGGGGTGGGGGGCGGGGGGCGGTCGGATTCGCATCCCCCCCATCCGTCCCGGCTCAGCGCGGGCCCGGCCTGGTGCGAGCACGGCGGGGGCGGCTCAGACGCAGATCTCGATGGCCGTGGCCAGCACCACCTGCCCTTTGCTCTTGTCCGGGCGGCCGTCGGTCCTGCCGGGGGGCCCCGGGGGCGCCAGGCCGGCCTCGGGCACGGGCATGGGCGCGGGCGCGGGCGCGGGCGCGGGCCCAACGGCAGGGGGCGCGGGCCGGGAGCCGCTGCCGCTCTCGGTCAGCACCGTCCGCTTGAGCGGCCCGGGCGCCTCGAGGCGCAGCGGCCCGGCGGCGGGCGGGCGGTCCCCGGCGGGCTTGCGCGTGCGGTGCGAGGGCCGGCGCCGCAGCTCGGACGTGAGCTCGTGCTTGAGGAAGCGGAAGACCTCCTTGGCCGGCCCGCGGCGCTCGGGCTCCAGGGCCAGCAGGCGCTGGAACATGCGCAGCGCGGGCTCGGTGAAGCGGCGCCACTGCGACGGCAGCCCCGGCAGGCGGCCCCGCTGCCAGCGCACGAACTCCTCGAAGAAGGCGTCGGCGCCCGACGCCGCCTCCCACGGGAAGTTGCCGGTGAGCACGCAGAAGATGAGCACGCCGAAGGCCCACACGTCCACGCCCGTGTCCACCGCGAAGCCGTCGGCGCGGCCCGCCTGGCACACCTCGGGCGCCGTGTACGGGATGGTGCCGCTGACCCGCTTCACGCGGCAGCCCACGCGGCGCGTCATGCCGAAGTCGGCCAGCTTCACGCGGCGGCACTCGCGGTCGAACAGCAGCACGTTCTCGGGCTTGATGTCGCGGTGCACCAGCTGCCTCCCGTGCATGAAGTCCAGCGCCAGCCCCAGCTGCTGCACGCAGCGCTTCACCGTGTCCTCGGGGAGCCCCACCTGCCGGCCGGGGGGGGGGGGGCGGGGGGTAGAGGGGGGAGTCGCGCTCAGGGACGGCCGCCATCCTCCCCCACGGCGGTCCCCCCTGCCCCCCGCCTCTCAGTCCCCACTGCTGCCAGTCCCCTCTGGCCGTGGCCCTCCCTGCTGCCTCCCCCCATCCCACGGGGTGGGGGGGTATGCCTGCTTCCTCCCTGGCCCGCTAGTTTTCACCCCGCACCCTCCTCCCCGGTCACTGCCCTGAGCGCTGGCGGCCGCCGTTGCGCCACTTCCCTTATAGGGACGCAAGGCTCTGAGAGGCCTTGCCACTTGCCCACTGGGCGCCGGCGCAGACTCCCCCCCCCCCCCCCCCGGCGCCGCCAAACACAGAGCCGGGAGCCTAGAGTCCTCCTGGCATTCTCCCCCCACTCCAGAGCACCTCCTCCGGGAAGCCCCTGGTGGCCCCGCTGCCTCGTCTCCCCTCTTGGGTCCCCACTATTCTTATGTAGCTGCTGGCTGCGTCTGTCCTGGGGCCGGAGGACCCTCCCCGTCCCTGTGCCACCACACCAAGTACCTGAGGGGGAATGATGTCGAACAGGTCCCCTGCAGGCGCATACTCTTGGGCGAACACGTAGCAGTCCTCCGTCTCAAAAACCACGTCAAAGACCTTGATGATGAAGGGGCTGGAGGAGAGGCTGTTGGTGATGCTCACCTCCCGCAGGAAGTTCTTCAGCTTGGTCTTGCTCTTGTTCACAAACTTCAGCGCCATTTTCGTGCCTGATGGGGCAGCAGCGGCAGTGGTGAAGGCCCCTGACCCAGCGCTCCTGCACCCGCCATCCCCAGGCCTGCCTGTCCAGGCTGCGAGGCCGCAGGGGTCTGTCCTCATCCTACTGGTAGGAAACTGAGGCCCGGCGCGGGGGAAAGGACTTGCCAGAGGCCATGCAGCGACTCAGGGGTCAGCCTGGGTCTCCTGCACCCACCTGCAGCCCTCGGTGAGGACGGCCTGCTCCTTCCTCCACACTCTTCTTTTCTGCCTGACATACAACATGCTGATTTCATCTGGTGGCTCTCCGCCCCCCCCCGGCCCCCGGCCCCCACTTGGACGTAGCCCCCTGAGCACAGGAATCTTTGTCTCGCTCACTGCTGTATCCCCAGTGCCTACAACAGGGCGGTGCCTCGTAGCTGCTCAACGAAGGTGTGCTGAATGGGTGGGTAAGAAGGAATTAGACACTGAGAGGTGAGGGGCTGCAAGGCCTATGTCCCCAACTTTGTGCTTGGGTGGCCGTCTGTACCCCCCTGGGGGAAGCACACGTGTCCACAGAGCGTTTACACGTCACAGGCCCTCCCCTCAGCACTCCCCATTCACAACCTGCTCCTCCTAATGACCCTAGGAGGTGGGCCAGCCTGAATTGCTACCCTATTTTACAGAGGAGGCACCTAGGCACAGAGAGGTTAAGCCACTTGCCCAAGGTCACACACAGAGCAAATGGCAAAGCTCAGGCAATCCCTTGTCCAGGGTTCCTCCTGCAGCTGTCAGTTGGCACAGAGCCCCCTGCCCCAGGTGAGTGCAGCTGTGGGAGCTCATGCAGTCCCTGTCCCTGACTGGCCGAGTGGGCGCCGCTGTGAGCCTATGGTGTGGGGAAGGCATTGTGCTCCTGGTTAAGCGAGAAGATTCTGGAGCTGATTCAGTAATCAGCTCGTCCTGGCTCGAACCCTCTCTAGCTGCACGACCTTAGCTGAATGACTGGATCTCTGGGTCTCACTGTCTTCATCTGAGCAACGGAGATGGCCATACTGCCCTCCCAGGGGCATCTCCCACCTCTCCTTAAGCATAGTGCCCTGTTTCCAAGGACCCACCCTCAGCCCTGTCCACTTCTGTGGGGTCAGCCCTGACTTCTCTCCTGAGCTCCAGATGTCCCAGGGTCAGCCCCTCAGCTGTCCCCAAGCAGCCCACCCTCCAGCCTGGGCCCTATATCCCCTCTCAGGTCTCCCTGGGCCGCTCAGGCTGCATCTCTCCACCTGGGCCACGAACTCTGTCTCCCTGCTGACCTCTTGGCTCCCGAAGTGAGCACCTGAGAGCCCCAGACAAGTCCCCACCCCTGCCTTCAAAACCGGCCGCCCTGCAGAGGCTCACCTGTGCCCTTGTAGGCCACGAGGTCGACCTTCCCATAGGTGCCCTTGCCTAGCTCCCGGACGAGTTCGTAGTGCTTGGTGACATCACTGGCAGCCAGGGTGCGGAGCGTCAGTGCCTGCATGTCTTCAGTGAGGAGGGGCACCCCTGCACCCAGCCCAGGGGCAGTCCCCGGCCCACAGCAAGGCAGGGAGCGGGGTGGCTCAGGCTCTGGACAGCCCACGCTCATCTTCTCCCTGTTACGGGGGATGTGGCATGAAATGTGACGTGAAGCCAGGGCCCCCTTGTCCACCCACCTCCTCCTTCCCCAGTACCTAGGGTCCCAGGATGCCGGGCTCAAGATGACCACAAGGGGGCGACAAGCATCTTTGCTGCATCCCAGTTCCCCAAAGCTTCAGGGCCAGGCCTGAGCCAGCACTCTCAGCAGACACCCGCAGTCCCCACTTGGGTGCCACTGGCCTGTCTGTCTCAGGCTGTCATTCAGATGCAGCATCAGACAAGGCACACGTGTTTATGTCACACAAAGACACTCCATATACCAAGTTCACATGGGGGCTCCTATTCATAGATATTGATCCACAGCTGCTGTTTACCAGGGGCTTGCTGTTCACAGCTGTGGGGACGCGACACTAAACAGATAAGAATCTCACCCTCAGGGCGCCTGGGTGGCTCAGTCGGTTAAGCGTCTGCCTTTGGCTCAGGTTGATCTCTGGGTGCTGGGATCGAGCCCCTCATTGGGCTCCCTGCTCAGCGGGGGTCTGCTTTTCCTTCTCCCTCTGCCCCTCCCTTCCCTGTGCTCTCTCTCTCTCTCTCTCAAATGAATAAATAAAATCTTTTACATATAAAAAGAAAAGAATCCCACCCCCATGGGACTTATGTTCCGGGGGGGGCGATGGACAATAAATAGTGAATACGTGAATTATATATGCTCATAAAAGGTGATCTAGGCTTTTGAGAATGGAAGGCAGGGGGTGAGGAACGTGAGGTCTGAGGGCAGGGATCACAGTATCAAATTCGTCAGCCAAGTAGCGTCAGACAAAACTCTGGCAGGATGGTGCAGATATGGCCACACACCCACCGTGGCCTTCCATCCCTGCCCCTCCACAGACAACACCCCCCCAACTCAGGCCCACACAGCTACAGGTGCAGGCCCAGGGCCCTGCCCAGCCTCCCCCCACCCCGGACACAAGGCAGGGCGCCCGTCCCACAAAGCCCCAACCCTCCCCATTCACAGCCTGACTGACCCCTTTGGAGTCCACACAAACTGCACGCACCCGTCAGAGGTACCGAGTCTGTCCCCAGATGGTGTTGGGGGGCAGAGAGCTGCGGCGGGGAGAGCCCGGGGCAGGGTGACAGCGAATGCCCATCTGGGGCCCGCATTTCTTGTCTGTCAAGCGGGAGGGGGGTTGGGCCGGGGAGCCGGGCTTCCAGCGCAGGTGTGCTCCTGTTTGTGCGTGTATCGGCAGGAGAGGCCGGTACTGAATCCTCTGGAAGCCGAGCCCCAGGAGCCTGCCTCCTGGCGCACCTCTTCTGCCCTCACCTCACTCCCTCCTACCTCCAATCCCAGGTGACTCAGCCCATGCTCCCCCAGCCCCCACCCCTGCAAGACAGCCCAGGGCTCTGGGAGAGAAAGCAGACTTGGAGCCGGCTGGCCTGGCTTTGGGTCCAGCTCTGTCACCTGCTAGCTGGATGGCCTTGGGCAAGTACCTTCATCTTCCCTTGCCTTAGTTTTCCATCTATAAAAAGGATAGAATAGTGCCTTCTCCCTACGGGCTTGTGACTTATTAAAGGCCTTGGCCGTGGAGTGCTTGGTGCTCAGTACACAGTAAGTGCTCTGTAAGGGCCAGGTGCCTGTGCTCTCTCAGTAGTGGGATCTGTGTTCCCTCTAGCCGGGCCCCGCGGAGGCTATGAGCAGGGGTGGGCTCTCCGGGAGCCCTGCATGCTCACCCTGGCCCAGCAGCAACCCTTCCAGGCCCAAACCCTCTTCTCCTCCTCTGCCTTCCCCTTCCCTCTTGGCACGACCCAGCCTCCCACTTCACACAAAGAGGAGGAACATCAGGAGGGAACTTCCTGGCCTCCCACCCAGCCCCAAACGGAGCTCCATCTGCACGTCCCTCCGGCTGGCTGGGGGAGCAGGGGGCCCTCCTCCCCTCCTCCCCTCCTCCGATTTGGCTCCTGCCCCTTCTGCTGCCTCAGGATCCTGCTCCCCCTCTCAGCCCCCTTCCCCTCCATTCATGAGCAAGTCCTGTTCTATAGAACCTTCCCCCGCCACAGCCACTGCCTTGCTTTTCCTAATTCCTTCAGTCTGTCGGAAACGCCACACGAATGCCCTCAGAGGGGCCCGTCTGTAGCCTGGACTAGCTCATTGCCTAGACCCCCACCAAGGGGAGGGATGGTGCCAGGCCCACAGAGACGGGGCCCTGCTCCCCTACCTCAGCCACCCAGCTGGGCCGTGGCACCTGTCACCAAGACTCTATGCAGTCCCAGCTCTGGCCGGACAGCACTGGGTCGCTCTTACTGCAGCCACCAACTAGGCTAAAGTGAGCGGCCCCTCCCCACGATGGTCCTTCCTTGCTTTCAGCGCTGGAAGGGGTCACCCATCCCAACCTCTGTCAAATGCCCACACACTACCCTGGCTGGGGGCGGGGGGCGGGGGGAGGCTGAGAATTCGGAGCGAGGAACCGCAGGCCATCTGCTCTGATGCAGCAGGGAGATGGACAGCGAGTTCTGGGGAGAGTGCTGGCCTCTCCCCCAGGGGTTCCGAGGAGTACACACCCTCTTTGCCTTGAGCTCTCCCCCCACCGGCCTGCCAGTGAGAGACTGCTGGGCTGCTCGGCTGACCTACTTCTCCTGACGTGTGCGGCCTCCCCGAGGGCTGCTACGCGGGGCAGGCCATGGGTGTGCCCGTCCATGCGCACACACGTGTGTGATGCTCCCACTTCGGGCTGTGGCCCTGCCAGTCATTTTGGGCTGTCTCTGCGTCCTCTGGGAGACTGACTGGTGGCTGCAAGTTGCTAGAAGCTCTTCTTCCCCCTCTTCCCTCCTCCCTCATGCAGGGGCTGTTGGGTGTGTGGCTCATCCCTGCTGCTTTGGCCTCAGGGTTGCACTGTGTAGGCACCAGTCTGGGTCAGGGGCCCAGCCACAGCGGGGTGGGTTTGGGTCCCACATTTGCCCCCTGCACTCCAGGTTCAGCCCGCGCTGTGATCACCACCCTGCACTGCCTCTCTCGCGTCTCCTCTGCCGGTCCTGCTGCCCGCCTTGACCTCCCCCTGCCCCAGCCACACTCCTCAGGTCCCATTCCTCTAGGAAGCCTTCCCTGCTGCCCTGGGTGCCGATTCCTGCCTCTGCTGAACCCCAGGATTCACACAGGGTCTGTGTGTCTCTCTCTGAGGGTTCCTGTTGAAATGTCTTGGGGTGATCTCAACTCTGTCACCTGTCTGTCCCCATCAACAGGCCAAGAGGCCTCCGGGGGGGTAGGGGCTACATCTGATCCAACTTGCCCTCATCCCTTCCTTTCGTTCCTAGGGCCAGTTTTGGGGGTCTTCACTATTGACCCCTCCCTCCTTCACAACCTCTCTCTCCCTTCCGGCCTGTTCTCTGTAAGGTGTCAGCAGGTGACAAGGAATTAATCCACACAGCCATCCCCTGTTGCTGTGTCATGGCCCAGGTACACAGTGCCTCTGACCCAGTTACCATGCATGTGACTTAAGAGGCACAGTGGGGAGCGACAGAAACAGCACGGACCTCGGGGCTCAGCAGGCTTGCCCTTGATCCTGCCGTGCGCCACTTTTTAGCTGGGTGACCTTGAGTGAGTCCCTTGTCTGGGCCTTGGTGACCACACCTTCACGACGGGGAGAATCACAATGACAAGAGCAGCAGCTAACACGGAAGCAGGGCCCTGCTCTAAGGATGAGCTCATCTTCACGATTCAGTGGGTAGGTGTTCTCATGACCCCCATTTTCAGGAGGAGGAGAATGAGGCAGAGAGCCCAGACAGCTTGCCCAAGGTCAGACGGCTCACATTGGGATTGGTTCCAAAGTTGGCGCTCTTAACCACTGTTTTCCTGAGTCAGAATGTTGGGAGTGTCCCATCCGGATCCCTGGGTATCCAAGTGGGGAAACTGAGGCCCAGGAGAGCGCAAAGCCTGAGCCAAAGCTGCCCATTCATTCACTCGGCTCCTGCGGAGAGCCGACTGGGTGTCAGGCGCTGTCCAGGTGCTTCCCGTGTATTAATTCACTTAATCCCCACAGCAGTGAGGACAGAGCAACTTCTTTCAGGCGGGGACTCAAGGCCAGAGAGTAAAGTAAGGTACACCTGCCTACCCAGGTGCTTGAGGGCATATACGCCTGGCATCAGTGGGAACTTGATCTAAAACTATTTTACCTTCATCACCCCTGCCTCCCCTTGAAGGAGCAGCCGTGCACTTGGGTGGCTGTGAACTTTTCAGCAGCGGGTAGTGGAGGCCCCTGGCTGCTCCCCTCCCCTCTCCAACCTGTGTGGTTGATACTACCATCCACACTCAAGCTGACCGTGCTGTTCCGAGGCACCCCACATGCCTCGCACCTCAAGTGTGTGTCCTCACTGGCCCCGGGGGAGGCCCCTGGTTTCCCCTCTGTTGCTGAAGGCAGAGGGGTGTCACCCGGCCTTCCTGGCAGCACTTGTAGCTCTGGCCCTGTGGGCTGGGTCTTCCGCCACACGCTGGGGGGGGGGGGGCTTCCCAAGCAAGAAGCAAGACTGAACTGCTTACCACTTCCTGTTGGCAGATGGCTTGAGCTGGGCACCTCTCTTATGAGAACTACACCCAATGCATAACCCAACTCAGGCCTGCTTTGGAACTGCCCTTCCCTACCATACACACACACACACACACACACACACACACACACACACACACACACACAGAGTACCAGCCTGGCAAAATTTCACTGAGTCCTCATAAGTACCTGAGAAGAAGGGCAAGAGGTCTCCTGCTTTTTAAACAAACAGCTTAACTTAGTACACACCACAAAATTTACCCACAGTAGGGCATACAATTCAAGGATTTTAGTCAATGTCCATTGCCACGATCAAGTGATACTTTCTATTTTATAGATGAAGCAGAGGCCCAGGAGGTTGGTGACTTACCAGGGTTTTGGTAAAGATAGCCAACTGTCCATCAAAACTTTGGGTTTCCTCTTTTATTTTATTTTTTTTTTTTACTTTAGATTTTATTTATTTATTTGACAGACACAGCAAG